GTCTTGACATTTTTAATACTATAACGTCTTTATTTTTATTTTTTTTAATTAATTACATATAATTGTTTTATGGTTAAATACCCTTTTGGTCCCTCTTCTAGTAAAAAAAGCTCTCTTTTGGTCCCTGTATTGAAAAAAATCCCCTTTTTAGTCCTAAAAATTTTAAATTCTGTCCTTTTTTTTGTCTTTTCGTTAAAGTTTTGCTGACTTGTTGTGTTAATTGATGCACTAAAATCACCCTAACAAGTGTATTAGTCGCTCTAAGTAATATAATGATAAGAAAAATGTCAAACCCACAAGGATTATGTTTAATTAAGTACCAAAATAATTAATCCAAATTTATTTGAATAACCGAAAAGGAAGAAAGTTTAATTAAAAAATAATAAAAAGAAACTAATAATTAAAATAAAACTAACCAAGATATGAGGTATTAAGGTATTGACTTCACCATAATCAATCAATATAAATTTTGGATTACCAAATTGTTGAGTGTTATTGCATGTGATGACGATTTTCCTTAAATTAATTAACTAGTTTTCTTAAGTCAACTTAATCCTTCATTTGTTTGTTAAATTAATCATATCTCTATGTAATTTTAATTGTTAAATTAATCATATCTCTATGTAATTTTAATTGTTAAATTAATTATATCTCTATGTAATTTTAAACAAACTAATGAGCATTAAATTTTATGAAAATCTCTAGCTTAAGAAGGGGGAGGTGAGCTAATTACTTTTCAGTCTCATAGTCTAACGCATGGTTTATATTATTATTGGTCTAATTTACGCAATTCTTTCTTAAGTTCATGCGTAAATCATTAAATCAATTGAAAGATGATCAGGCTTCCAATGCATTAAGTTCAATAATACAAATTCCTTATGCGAATAACTTTAATTGAATGTATAAAAATCACAAAATTTTTATTTAATTAATTATGCTACATTATAACCTTAATAAAATAAATTAGTTCATAATGAAAATAATAAAATCTGAAATCACAGTTATGAACATAAGAATATCTAAGGAAAAATGAAACCTCATTTAAGATAATTAAAATCCTTAATCTTTTATTGTTGATGGATCTTCTATCTTGATCTCCGAGAATGCCCAAAAGAAGGCTGCCACTAGCCTCCACCAACTCTCTCAATTCTGAATTTGGATGCATATTTATAGGATTTTAGAAACCCTAATTGGAATAGAAGTAGGACTTGGAACAGAATAGAAAACTTGAATTTTGGACGCTGAACGCATGGTGTTGACATCTCGAATTACATGTCGACACAAAACAAGAAACAGAAAGTCTAATTTTGGACGCTTCACGCATGGTGTCGATACCCCAATTATGTGTCGACACTACACTCGTGTCGAGTTTGTGGTCTCTCTTTGCAATTTCTTCAATGGTAAAACAGTAGATCTGGTCCTCCACCTTTTACCGGATGAGCATTTAGATCCCAAAACTCATGATTCATTCATTTAAGTCCCAAAGAGGTGCCTTTTTTCTTGCAATTCAGTCCCTCAACTTTGAAAAGATGTTCAATTAGTCCCAAAAACTCTTATTTTTATGCATTCAAGTTTTTTTCTGCACAAAAAATGAAAACAATGTAAAATCTCATAAAATTCATCCAAATATCAATAATATCAAGATAAAAATTTCACATTAATATCTATATGAATTCAGCTTATCATTAATTAATGGAATCACTTTATATTTTATATAAATGATATTATAACACAACTAGAAATTGCTTATATTTAGACCGATATAATTCAAACCAATTTATTATGATCTAAAAAAATATTAATTTGGACAATTATTGGTTTGAATAGTGTCATAAAAATGATAATATGCCAGACTGGCAATTTCCAGACCGAAACCGATCTAAAAATTACAAGGCAATCTTTTAATGAAAAAAATACTTAAATGCAAGATTTTTACATTTAATTTTTCAGCCACTATTGGTCCGAAGAAGCTATTGGGACCAATTGTGGTCCGAATATGTGGTCTTTTTGTTTTTTTTTTTTTTTTTTTTTTTTTTTTTTTTTTTTTT